CAAAAAACTCTTCCTTCAAATCATCCTTTATTGGCTACTTCATACAACAACATCGGGAATGTGTCTGACAACATGGGAAAGTACTCGAAAGCCCTTTCATCTCACGAAAAAGCACTTGAAATTCGACAAAAAACTCTTCCTTCAAATCATCCTGATTTGGCTACTTCATACAACAACATCGGTTTGGTGTATTCCAAGATGAAAGACTATTCGAAAGCACTATCATATTATGAACGTGCTCTGGACATATTCCAACGTGCATTACCGCCAACTCATCCTAGTATAAAAATTGTGAAAGAGAGTATTGAAGTTGTAAAAAATAAATTATAACGAATATTTGATAAATAAATAAAAGAATCTTTTGTTCACTTGTTTTTGAATTAATTCTAGTTCGTAGTGACTCGCATGCGTGTACAGAGAACAACTTTGTAAATAATGAAAACGTACTGGACAAAGCCGACTGATAAGATAATACACATACATATGTATGTATATGAATGACGTTTTCAGACTTATTTACATTTCTAATTCTTTACGAGAGTATTCCCTGTAATAAAAGAAGAATAACTTATATGAAACTGGATTGTAGTAGTGTTGAATGAGGCCTCGTATGATGAACAAAAGGTGAGAAAACTGCGATATATATACCTAGATGTCATCGATACATGGTCTAACTGATTCAATCAACTATAGTCCTCTAATCTCGGATTCAGTCTACAAGAGAAATTGTTTGACGAAATATCTTACAATGATATCTCATCCTTGAAAGACCACCACACTTAGTTGTTTCACAAAGCATAATATAAGTTATAGAAATAGATCAAGTAAATTAAATGTATGCGAAAAAACAACTGGTCTTTACAATAAAGAACATTCTAGATAGTTATATTTAATGGAAATGATGCAATGTTATTCTCTACTTCTATATTCCGAGATTGAATATGGACAGTAGTCAACGGTCGTTTATGAGAAGAAACGAAGATATACGACTATACAGTAATGAACAAATTAATAAATAACATTCTATTCTTATTTATTTTGCATTATTGTGCTTTTTTCAGGTTTCCGTCGTAGATTATGAAGGCTACTAAGTTTTTTTTATTTATTTTACTTCATTTATAGAAGCTCATCGAAATAAATTGAATTAATGAATGGTATGCATTTTTATTTTATTACAATTTATTCATTTGATGAACTGTTGCAAGATTTTGTTTTGAGAAGCGGATGGGCTGCTGAATAGTGAGGGAGTAAACAAAAAAATAAAGTAATATTGTTTACTTTGTATTAAATGGAGATAAGTTCAATTAGTATTACCCTGAAGAATTAATCGAAATCAAGATAAAATTGATCTTGTTCTAGATGATCTAAAATAATTTAAAATACTAAACTTTGCTGTTCAGATCGCAACCATGAGGGTAAATATCGAATTAACTGACTGAATTGTAGTTTCAATGATTATTCAGATTCTGATAAAGTTTATACAGTTAGTAGAGTTCGTCGAGTTAACTATATTCTTGTTTGATCTAAATGATTAAGATAAACTCATCGAATACATTATTTCAACTTTTATTTGATTTCACATTATAACAATGAAATTCAAAAGTAATTACCAATATATTTATTATAATTAATAAACAAAATTTGCTGTTTCTAGCGATAGATTTAAGAGTGATCAAAATCATTTGTATTTTATATTTTTACATATAAAATTACATGTATAGATGAGTTAACATATATATTTTTTCTTGAAAGATTGAACTAAATTACACGCTAAAAAAAACAAAGATGATGAAATTGCTTCTCATTCTTCATTATTAACAAAATTTAATCACACATTCATAATTAATGGCTTCAAGCTATTTTATATAACATTGCTATACAAGATTATTTTAATCACAATTACAAGTTACTTTTCAAAATTAAATCAATTTCACCCACACCCTTCCAATGAGTTTATCAAGCGATCTTTCAAATAAACTTTCCATTAATTAATTCATAGAATGACTTCTAACTAATGTCAGTCTTGTTAAGCAAAGATCTTTTAACATTCGTTTATTTACGAGGACAAACTACACAAATATCAAGAAACATGCAAAAAATACGATAAAGGCTAATATACAACAATGATCAAGTACAAGGATAGAGATCAAAATATGTTCAGTTTTATAAATATAGTATAAACAAATGAGTTTTCTCTAATCAGAAGTTGAACATAACATTTGAATTAATTTTTGATATATCATGTATAAGTATGTGTCACAGATCAAAACTTTATAGAATCCAAAAGTTTTCTCCTCTGCCTTCGACACTTTCCCATAGACAAGTTGTATTACCATTAAAACTGACAGGTATGATTTTTGGATAGGCGGCTCGTTGCGCAGCGATGAGATACACACAAATACGACTGTTTGATTGAGATGGATCAGGTATTACTTGTTGATTCAACGTCAAAGAATATAACATATTAAAATCATCTTTATCACTAATAATTAGTCCATAGTCAAAAGACGACTGTTCGGAGACAATAAATGGATTTTGAATTATAGAATGATTCTTGCTGTCATCCACAAAATATATGCCGTGTTCGTTTTCGGTCATTACATGGAGTGTACCATACCATGTGCCATTCAGACTAGCAATCGTGTGCCAGGTATGAACATGATCATTTTTTCGTATGAATCGACCATCGACCATAACTACTATAGTAAGTATAATGGCAAATGTAAAACTCGTTCTGATAGATAACATTGGAGCAATTGAATTCTTAATATAATCTAGAAAACAAAAAATGCATAGAGTTATGTCAATACTGGCATAATCAATTTCTCTTTAGTTCAAATTACAATATCAGTCGATGTGTTACCAATTCTTTCTATTTCACCATAAACAAAATAGAGAATAAAATAATACCATCAAAGGAATTCAGTTTTAAAGACCATAATTTATTGTTTCGATTATCTTAGAAATGAATGGCAAGATTTAATTCACGAAGGCACTCTCACACTGAACCAGAACTCTTGTGATCATGATATTCACAACAAAAGATATCATCTGTTGATGAAAGAAAGAAACTGTTCAACCAATAAGTACATTTTTCGGGAGATGTCATTTTTGAGCATAGAATCGAGGTTGGTGTGATTGAAGGATAGAGATCCACACCCACACACCTTCTTGGAATTTGTTAAACTTAAAGATGAAAAATATGAACTTCAAAGAAGAGAACATTATCTTACAATTGAAAGATCAAAATCATTATAAGAACATCATTTATATATAAATATTCTCTTTTGTCAATTGAGTTTATTAGGAAAAAGTTACTTAATGATGCATATGTTTCAGTTTTTACAGTTTAACGAGCTGATTCTTTTTTCTGCCATGAAAAGTGTAATTGAAAAAGAAATATATTTTATTATTGCATGTTTGACTTTTGACGAAACACTTTTCATAAAACTAATCAATTTAAGTGTACAGTGTAGATCTTATTCTTACTCATGTTTATTCAAATAGATATAAATAGTTTTTTTCTTTAATTGATCATTGTTGTCAAAAACGATATTTATAATATACCCACGTTTCTATTCTTCTTTTGATAAAAATAAATAGTAAAGGATAAAATTAGTAACATTCTTTAGAATCTAATATGAAAATAAGTCACCCACATAATAACAAACTCATTGTAATATATAAAATAAAAGGTAGGTTGATTCTTTTCAATTCATTATGTAAAAATCAATGCCTAAAAATATCCATATAATAAGTAAAAATGACTCCTACATATTCCTGTATATTGAAATTCTTGTGCAAATAATCAATAATATTTTATTTTTCTTAGTTGCGATACACCAAATACTTCATCGGTAAATAGTTCAAGTCAACTCGTAACAAATGGACATCATTCATTAAATTTTAATTAATTTCTTTTATTTTTAGCTGCTTAATCAGATTAATCTTTACTTTCAATACAGTATTATAGAATATATATCAGCAGTTTATGGATTGTATCTTTTATTTTCTATTAATACAAACGCAATGTGGGTTGCTGTGAATATTGTAGTGATCTTTTCCTTTTTCTTTGTTTTGCATCTAACGAGTTTTTTGTTTTTTCTCTTATTATAATGATATTGTCAGATAGTGCTTTGCTATGTATCTTAATCAGATGGAATAATCATTTCTTTTGAAATTTGTAAAATAATAAATATTCGTATTAATTAAATCGTAGATGATAAAATAGAGCGTCTGCTTCCATTTTATTATAAATATTGCTTTTGCATTGATATATCTGACATATTGATGATAGTCGATATAATATGATCCAGTAGATAGTTTATCATTGTGATATTAGTACTACACTAACTTACATACATCAACGATGATCTGTCTTTTTTTTTATTATTGAAAAAAAACGATAGTTTTACATAATATTCAATAAAAATAAATCAATCTTTAGTTGATTATAGTCATCAATGAATGTATAAACTATATGAGTCTGTATTATATTTAATTTTTATTAGTTCATAGGCAATAAATAAAATATTTTATGAATTAATGTAACTGTTTCATATCTTCATTTTTTTTGATGACTCGAATCGGTTGAAGTTGATGTTAGAATCACCGGAACTTTCACTGCTTGATATAGCCTAACAGATCTTTTCAAATAATCACCAGTTGATTGCCACGCTTGTAAAAATCTTACGTCAAGTGCAGCTATTATTATTGGATCAAGTGTTATATTTATATAATTTAATAATTGCGCAATTGTGCCAATTGTACTATTTTTATAATAAAATGGAAATACAAGAAGATGTGGTGACCATAATATAATCCAAAGTGAATAGAATACACCTGATTGTTTTACTATTTGACGATGATATTTCTGTCGAGCATCAACTATTTCTTGTGTTCGTATACCATCTGTATTACGAACATAATTAAGACTTAAGAAAAGAAAGACTAATGTTAATATAACCGGGATGAAATAAGATAGAAGAAGAAAAATAATCCGAATAGTCAAGGAAACTGGTAAAAGATCGCATGCATCACCAGGCGGATTTTGTAGTACTGTCCAACTATATTTAATTGCTACAATATGACCAAATAATGGTAAAAAATAAATAAGAAAATGTGCAATTAAAATAGTATAACGATTTGATGAATAAACATTATGTCCATGAGCAATTTGTAGATAACGACATATGTTTAATGCTAAAAGTATATAACTTTGTAATAGATTAAAATAATTATCAAATATAGCTTCACAATAACAAATAATACTACGAAGAAAATATGGTACACATGTTGGCCACCATCGATAAGCATAAAGTAGAAAGAATCGAACGAGTAATAATAAATCAATAGTTAAATAAGCGTATAACCATTGCATAGACCATTGACGAACTATTGGATATGCAATTAATTGAATCCAAAATAGAACATGAATAATTGTTGCTATAATACATATATAAAGAAGTGGTTTAACTGTTTTTGCTGCCTGTTCAGACCAAGGAAGAACTTCACAATCATTTGTATCATTCATTTTCCTTATACAATATTCAACTAAAAATAATATAGATCTTTATTAATGCTATCTTAAGAATCTACTTTATTATAATGAGTCGTTAATCTCAATCATGCATTTATAATTATTTCCGGAAGAGATATTTTTAAAAAATGAACTGTGTTAAGCATCAATAAGTAAAAAATTTTAATATAATATCAACTACAGGTACTCAAATAGGAATGGTATATATAGAAATAAATATTTTATGGTAGTTCTTTTTTATCATATACATATCTGTCGATAATTGAGACATACATATTTTATATTTTTAGAAGCTCGACACGTGAAAGAAAAAAAAAGTAATAATAGTTATTCACTTACTCATCAAACTAAATAAGAGTAGATCTTTATTTTTATCGTTTCACAGCTGTCGTAGCGTGCGAATGGTAATAGACGAGAACGAGAAAGAAAAGCGTAATTGTATTTTGCATCTATTGTGAACTTTTTTTCTTTTCTTCTTCTTCTCTTCTATTCTATATATCTCTGTTGAGAACCTAATGGAAAGCAGAAAAAAGAAAATATCTGGAAGAAAATAATTGATCGACATTGGAAAGAACATAAATTGTTTAAGAGAAGAAAAAAAAATGTCTGAATAAGACTTGATACTTTATTTCAACGAGAATTTTAATTAATTTAGAATGAAAAATAGGGTTTTTTCTTACTTAATATAAATGCATTTATAGATATAATAAAAGCGTCATGAAATAATTCCTTAGAGAAAAGTCATTTTTTTAATAAATTCTCTTACAATATATTGTAATATATAGATACGTTATAGAACAATTCTTTTAATTGAAATATTTAATATGAAAATTTCTATACAAAAATGAATATAACAATGTAGAACTATGGAATAGAAATAAGACAATGAATGTTAATAGACAGCGCATTTGTCTTGAGGAAAAAACGCAATATCTTGACAATCTTTTGGTTTTTTAGTCATCGTCGATAGAAAATCGAATTAGATTAATTAATATCGTAAGATGGTATCAACATGACTTGTTTATTCCGTTCTTCTTCGTCGTCTGCACAGAGATTATATTATCTAGAAAATCTATATGTGATCATGCATTTATTAGTCGGAGAATAGCAGAAAAGGATTTACTATGGGATTAGAATGAAAAATAGTCCTTTTTATATATTTGTTTATATCCGAATTGATGAAAAAAATATATACTAATTTATTGAGCATCTGTATAGTTTTTATTCTTTAGAATTTATAAAACTTAAAAAAAAAGATTTAACAATGTTATTAATATATGTGTTATATACAACACGTGACTCATAATGCATGCCCATTTTTTTGTAATTCTTTATCAAAACATAAGATTCTCGGAAACCATTTTCTACATACGTTAAAATTTATATGAAATGTATATGATTAGTTCTGTATATTCTTCTTTGACCTCTATACTCTCTGCATCTAGTAGACTTTATTCAAATCTTTCTATTCAAATATAATCGTAGCGTTAATTATATATTGCCATGCATTCAGACAGATTGTCTTCGCGTTATGCATCTCATTAGATGATCACACTATAATAATAACTAAAATGTATAGAATACGACAAAGACCTAGAAATAATTCGTATAAAATAAGACAATAGAAGAAATAGAATACGAATAATGAATAATATAGATAAAAGATCATATATACCACCAGCTGGATTCTGTAAAATTATCTAACCAAATAATGGTAAGAAATAAATCAAAATACAACGATTTGATGGATGGATATCGACAGATGTTCAAAGCTAAAAGTATATAACTTTGTAGCTGATGGAAATAATTATCAAATGTAGCTTCACAATAACAAATAACAGTATGAACAAAATGTGGTATACATATTGACCACTATCGATAAACATAAAGTAAAACGAGTAATAATTAATCAGCGGTCAATTAGGCATATATTCATGACATTGAGTGTTTGGGCACAACTGGAAATATTTTATATAATATATTAAATAATGAGATAAAACTCAATTATCGTATAAATGAACGAAAGGAAATAGTATATTACGTTATGATATCATTATATAATAGTTATAGTCTTCACCTGTTCTCTTCGTTTTTTTAATATATCTTAATTTTGTACTAAAAAGACAATAATATTCGGATTATTTTTTATAAAAATACATTCACGTGTAACGTTTTCGATTATTGGTAAAAGGTTTCATAATCAAAAATCCCGATTCTTTTTTTCACAATATGTCTCTTCAATGGTACAATCACGGTTGATTGATCTTAATCATAAGGTATTAGAGCAAATCTAGTTCGAGGCAAGCAAGCGTTTCATGCACCAAATATATACGATAAAATCAACCTGTATATATATATATATGTGTTAAGTGATTCACCAATATATATGAATGCACATGCTCATTTTATATTTCTCTCTTATAACTAGTATATATTAATAAATGTATTATATTAATTTTATTTTTATATTAATTATTTATGTACAAATAAATGCACAAAATGTTCCATTTGATACTATTGTTACTTTTGGTGATTCAAATACTGATAATGGAAATGTATATAATTTAACAAATCATCAATGGCCAATTGTTCCACCTTATTATGAAGGTCGTTTTACGAATGGCCCTATTTGGTTAGATAAATTAAAAATTCCTTGTATTAAAAATTATGCGTATGGTGATGCAACAATTGATAATGATAATTTACTTGTAGGTTTTACTGGACCTAATAAAACATTAGTGCCTGGTATACGACAACAAATTGTCGATTATTTAGCTGTTAATGATATAAATAATGTTGATTTATCACGCACACTTTATGTAATATGGGCAAGTGGTAATGAATATTTTATTGATTCAAATATATCTTCGGATATAGTTGTTACTGCTTTATTAACGACAGTTTATGATTTACTTGTTGTTGGTATAAAATATTTAATTATTATGAATTTACTTCCATTACAATTATATCCTGGAATGAATTTAAACCAAAATTTAACAACATTAGTAATAAATCATAATAATCTTTTGATATCAAATATTACTCAAATTAAATTAGAATATCCGCATGTAACTATTCAGATATTTGATATATATTCATTAATAAAAACAATTCTTTCAAATAATTCATTGTTTAATTTTAATAAAGTTAATGCATGTTGGAATATATCAAATTATAGTATTATTTCACAATGTCGAAATCCTAATGAATATGTTTTCATTGATAATTATCATTTTACAAGTACTATACATGAGATTATTGCTGATAATATACAACTATTTATTTCATCATCATCAATATCTTTAAAAACTTTTTCTCATATGAATTTATGTATATTTATATTTATTATAAAAATATATTAATATGATTATTACGTACAATCGAATTTTTAGATTTGTAATGTCTTTCGTTTGAAGACAAAGAAAATATTTTATCATAATATATAACAAATCAAGTCAGAATGATTAGTGCTCTGTATGTTGGCATCGAATGTTATAAAACAAAATCTGTCAGAACACGTCTATGAGAGTGATTTAATCTGTTGAAATCTCATTATATCTAATGCGAATTTATTGGCTTAGGAAAATATTTCTAACTAGTTCTTCATATACATTCGTTTTTAAGTGAACTAAGATCATAAGACTTACCTCTTTATTCAAGCTGCTATTTTAAAGAACTAGAATTTGTTTAAATAGTTAATGTACAACAGTTTACTACATAGATATGTACCTATTTCTTGTTCTTCAGCATAAGAATATATCCAGTCATTTTCATTTTCATGTTTTTGTCGTGAAATATGAAATAGATAATAATCTTGATGATTTTAAATATCTAATGAAAATAAAATTAAAGATTTTCTATGCTTGTTAATGTTTATCGAATACTTTGCGAGGGCTTTGATCAGGTCTACGTACATATATAGTAATTCAAGCAGAACGAAAAACAAATTGTATACATAGAAAGAATCATCGACTAAATGTTCTTGAAGAACAAATATATATGTATGAATTTATCCGTAATACTTATTAATTTCCATCTAGTAAATTCATAGTATTGCACTGCACGCTTTTATCTGTTGCTGTTATGTTTTGCCATAGTTTAAATGAAAGTTATAATCTTTATATTCTCGTATATTGTTCATGAATACTAGAGATTCAAAATGGGCCGAATAATCTGGACTCAGATCTAAATTTTCAAAAGTCATCGTATAGATTTCTTTAGTTAAGCTCAAATGGTAGTTTTGAAGTTCAATTTATTTGATAGATACTCAATCTAATAATTTCTAACCATCAAAAAATATTTTTAACCTTTTACCTATTATATAACGAAAATTTTGACTATGGAACGGATCAATTTAATCATTCTTGTTCAATTATCTATGCATAAATATACGATAAAAAGAAGTATATTTCATCATATGTATTAACATAAGATAATCATTTTCATGTTAAAAGTCATATAAAGATTTGCACTTGACATCAATAGATTTTTTTTTCTATATGCGAAATAGCAGAGTATCATATGTCATTGTTATTTGCAAGCTCTTTTTACATTGCACATGACTATCGAATTACTATTAAAATTTTCAGAAATATTGATGACTTTCTTCATATATATATTCTATAGAGAACAAGGGGCGACAATTGTTTCATATGGTATTAAACAAGAAGTAGAGCAAAAAAAAATTTGAATAGAATTTGATTATTCAAATATATTATTCTAAGTATTACCATCAATAATAAATTCAAAAAAAAAATTATTTAATTAATTATTAAAAATTACTGTAGAGCAAAGCTACTAAGAATTATTGATTAGTTTTGAGAAATATATTGATATGCATAATAATGTCTCGTGTCTCTTGTTTGACGACAAAAATACCAAGTGATAAGGTCTTGATGACGTTATGTGAACATCTGCAAAAATAACTTTTTCTTTTTTCGATCTTCAGCAAAGGTCGCCTCATCGAGACATGATTTATTTATCTACATTCTTTACACAATCTACAATTCGATCGATTGGACTACCGCCAAGACGATATTATAATGCAAATATACAAGGGGCTCGACATATAAAAAACGTCGCGATTGTATATACACTATCGACGTCATCAATTGTAAGAAAGGAAAAAAAAACATTTTTTAAGTATATTTATTCTGAAAAACAATAATGTAAAGTAAATGATGGTTGTCAGTAAGTTGCACTTTTTACTTTTCAGGTTCGGGTCATTTTAAATATTGAAAATAAGTATTTTTTCTGCTGCTGCTGTAGCTCGATGTATCAGAATTTTGCTAGTCCATTTCTATTAGTTTATCTCATATTTCTTCTGCATTTTCATTATCATAAAAGAATGTATTGATGATAAAAATCTAAGCAGATGTTCGTATTGAAATAGACGTGCTAGGAATTACTAAATGAGAATAAAATATAAAACGAAAAAAATTACACACGTAAATACCTCGATATACATATTTATATCTGACAATCTAAGTATTAAAGTGTGTACATGATTATCAAAATCACAATAGAGCAAAGTATTTCTTTTTTTTCCTTCTATATATCTTTCATTAAAGTCATAAGATTTCGTATTTTGATATATATATAGGACAGGAAAAAAAATCATTTGCTTTTTTACTCTCAAATGTACTATGTCGTGTGACACGTCATATGATAAATATCATATAATCGTAAGTTGACCCATTCGTAGAACGTAATTTCCTTTACAGAGGATCTCTATGTATTTTTTTTCTGTCTTATACATCTTTTTTCTATCAGTCTAGACATGCGTTGATAGCGACAGTAACAACAATCATGCTACTCTAATACATGACGATGTTAGCTCTGAGGAATATATGCAGGGGGTAACACGAATGAAAGAGATAAATAGATATTCTCTTTTTTTCTTCTTCTTCTTTTTCTGCCTTGTTACTAGTATATAGATTGGAAGAACTGGTAGATTCATTCGACACAATTATAGAAAACATCTATTGTAACTAATAAACTGTATGTATTTTTTTCAAGGAATTACGGTATATGCGTCTTTTGAAGTACACATATTCATTCATCTAAAAAACGTTCATTTATTTTTATAGAAAACATGATTATTTCTGACGGAACGTCTATTTTTATCTGAATCATAATGAGATTTTAAAACAGAATTTAACAGCCATAAAAAAAAACGAGCAGTAGAGATTTCGCGCGTGCTTTCATTCGTGCTACCTGCCAGATTTGATTAACTTATTTTTTCCTCTTTCTTCAATCGGTAGGATGCATTTCAGACAACATTTATTTATTATTCAAGGGTAGATTACTGTTTTATACTTGAGAAAAAAAAATAATAAAAGAATGTTTTTGTACGAATATAAATCAAGTCGACCTTTCCTTTATAATGCAACGTGTGACTGCAGTTACGAAAGAAAGTCCACATGATGTTATTTTACGATTTCATCTATCGTAAAGGATAAGAATATTGACAAAGCAAAAAAAAAAACTAGTCGTTAACATACGCATACGCATCTCGTACCCACGCCATTTGTAATACACGTTTTTAATTTTCTTTTTTTTTTTATTTTATCTATATAACACTTAAATAGATATGTAGAAAAAAAATAAAATCTCTTTTTTTATTATTTAATTTTAAATGAGCAAATAGAAATTCTATTTATAAAATTATAATTATTCTTATTTTTAGTTTAATTTTTTCTCACCGGAAATGTTAATTTTTTAGTATTTATAATCTATACAAAAAGAGGTTGTATATATATATACTTAGATATATATGTTATAATAAAAGGGTCATTTTAGTCTTTTATATAGAGATGAGAGAGATTGTCAATAAGTTAAAATAATTACTTTTCCATATTGTCTTGCATCCTTTATCATGAAAGAAATGTCATGCAAAGAAAAAAAAACTAATATGTTGACAACAATTGTTAATTATACAAAGAATATGGTACACTGAATATTGTAGTCTTTTATTAACCGATAGGAGAGTGTAGGCGTAGAAATGTGCGTGTGAAAGTTGAGTACGCAACGTTCATTTATTCGATTATTAGAAAAAAGTTAGCACGATTGACTAGAACAAGAAACCGAAGGCGGTATACAAAGTCAATTTGTAGAAAGAAGAAATAGTGTAGGCACGCATGTTAATATCGTCAATTATAAGAACATTAACATCAGCTGTTGTTTTTTATATCCATTGAATGCAAAGTACATTTCGGAATAATAGAAAAATATGCAAAGTAATTCATCATTGTTCTGTTCATTGAAGATGTAATTCAATCCCAAGAGATCAGCAGACAAGCAAGTTTAATATGGAAAAAAAATAACTGAATGTTATATAGCGGCCTCTCTGAAACATTATCCAATTGGGTAATTCCTATTTTGATCTTTGATCTTTTTCATACTCGCAAAACATCACATCACTGATTAATAATAATAAAAACTATCTTTTTTGTTATTTATTAGTTGATAAAATTTATTCATTCAGCTTAGAATCTAAGTCTTATAAGATTGTAATAGATATATAGATTTATATTTCTTCATAGTGGGTACATTTGGTATTAAAAAGAAAAAAAGACAATAGCGTAACACACCTATTCCTAATAAATGACATTTAGATTGACTGTCTCGTCCGTATGCAGTTAAGGTTTCTTTCTTCATCGTCTGAGGCGATGTTTTTTATCTATTATATATAATAATAATGACGTCATGTGTGCACATTTCGTATAAAAAATTACGATAAAAAAAACGTACTGAAGAACGAAGAAAAAAATATATCGATGAATCACCAAACATAGTATATAGAAACATAATTTGTTATCATTTTCAGTGATATTTTTCAAAAACGTGAGGAAATTTTGTTACTCAAGTATAATCTCTTTATACTTGAAAAGAAGTCATGTTTTTTTTCTTACTTGTTCGGAAGCAGGAGAAGTAGACGAAGAAAGAAAAAAAATTTCATGCCCTATTTTTATCATTTTTTGTATTCATAAATAAAAGTCATTCTTTGACTGCTTCTTCCTTTTTTACTCGTTATACACTTACATTTATTTTAGATATTATAACAATATATATATATATTTCTCCTATGTATATTATTCTTTAAGATACGACATAACAAAATTTATATTTATTTGAAAATACTATGATGTTTCTTTGGTTTATCAAAGAAAATATTTAAGTGCAGATCTAGTCAGATTTTATCTTTTAATTATATATTTTAATGACGACTAAATCATCGATACGAAATATTAAAACAAGATTACCAACTAGTAACAGTGTAAATAATATGACAACAAATGGTAATGATACAAAAACAACAAGTCGAATATGTATTAAGAAACAATTAAGTACAACAAATTTTCTACAAAATAATCCAACAGCAAATGGTTTTAGTAATCATTTAAAAAAACGAACATTACAATTAAATAATTTTTTTCATTCAAAACTTAAATCAACTCATTTGAATGAACAAAATAATGTTTCTCAGTCTAATGAAAATTCGATATCACCACCACTTGTCTTTCATGCTATTGCTCCAGCTTCACAAGATGATATAAATAATATATCAAAACAAATCATTGATGAACAAAAGGTATATATTAACAAAAGATATTAAATAAAAAAAGAAACTATTATTATTTATATAGACACAGACTATATTGGAAATTATTGTAGAGGTACAAAAAAATGACTAACTTTCTATTAATTCTAATCACATATACTTGCTTAATAATAGAATATTTATTAATATGTATATTCACCTTTGTATCATAAATATATATATATATTTTTAGTCTAACAATGAAGCAAAATCACCATCAAGTCGTCGTATTGCTCGTATTCTTGCTCAGACAAAAATAAAAGCTATGTCAACAGATATCGATTCATTTCAACCACTAAGTTGTTCAGATGATGAAGATAATCATTCAAAATTTGTATCAGTAGATGCTGATGATGATGAATCTGATAATGATCAAACTAAAAAACAGAAACGATCACGTCGTACACAAAAAACACGTCGACCAAGTAGTACATCTTTACAACAAAAAATTGAGAATAATAATTTTAAAGATGAACAACAACAATCAAGTTCAAATGATGATGAACATAAAGAATTAAATTCAAATTTAAATAGCAATAATGAACGAAGATTAAAAGCATTATTAAATAGAAAATCTGATCGTTTAACAACAACGACAACAACAACAACTGATGATGATATTGCAAGACAAATCTATTCTTATCATCCATTGGATAATCTTGATGTTAAATTTCAAACAACAAATGAATCAAATTCACCATCACCAACTCCTACAATGCAATCATCTGTTAAAAAAGTGAATCGATTTCAAGTTAAATCAATACGTAAATCACAACAACAACAAATTCTATTAGCAAATGCAATTAAAGCTAAATCATCAAATGATGATGATTGTTCTGTACCAAATCAAATATCAAATTCACAATTAAAACCATCTATTATCGAAAGAAAAAATACAAATACACCAACAACTGACGGAGAAAATACAACATCATCAACAACAAATACAGAAAATATTGTTACTAATGGTCTTTCCATATTAAATACAAATGAAAACGAACATCGTGTTCGTTTTCAAGCACCATCACATGGAAAACAAGAATCAGCTACTGAAGAAGAAAAACTTCCGAATCAATCAGTAGCACCAGTTACAATACCAACACCAGTTCCCCCATCATCGGCAAATTCAAATCAAGGAGATGTTAGTATTCTATTAGGAGAAAAAAAATCTGTCATAAAAATAAAATTTTAATCAATCGTTTTGAATCACTTGAGAATATCATGTAATAGGAAGCATAGAAAAATGACTGACATATGATATTATTCATCGATTAAATTAATCAATTTTAGTGTGAAGCCATGTCTATGATACAGTTCTTTTCTATAAATATAATTTATCTTGTTTTTTTGCAGGATGATGAAGAAGGAGAAGCAATTGCTAAAAGTCCCGATAATCGTTTTATCAAATATGCAAAAGAAATTGGTCGTGGTGCGTTTAAAACTGTCTATCGTGGTTTAGATACAGAAGCAAGTGTTGCTGTTGCTTGGTGTGAATTACAAGTATGATTACAAAAATATTTTGTTTTTCATTCAGATATAATCTTATTAATTTTTAATAGGATTTTGCACAATTTGATAAACATGAACGTGCACGTTTTAAAGAAGAGGCTGAAATGTTGAAAAAATTACAACATCCAAATATAGTACGTTTTTATGACTTCTGGGAAGAAACAAATCCAAGAACAAATAAGAAAGTTATTATTCTTGTGACAGAATTAATGACATCCGGTTCTTTAAAAGGGTAAGGAATAAAGAATTAAGAAACAAAAAAGAAAAGAAATCAATTTATTCTTTTGTTTTCAAAGATATATACGAAATTTTAAAGGACAAAAAGAAGAAAAACGTATAAATGTAATGAAAAAATGGTGTCGTCAAATTCTTAAAGGTCTCGCTTATTTACATAGTCGTAATCCTCCTGTCATACATCGTGATTTAAAATGTGACAATGTATTTATATCCAGTACAACTGGTTGTGTTAAAATCGGTGATCTTGGTTTAGCAACATTTAAAACTCAAACATTTGCTAAAAGTATGCGTGGTACAATGGAATTTATGGCACCGGAAATGTTTGATGAACAATATGATGAACTTGTTGATATCTATTCATTTGGTTTATGCATGTTAGAAATGATTACCGGTGAATATCCATATATTGAATGTAAAGGTCCAACTGCTGTTATAAAACGTGTTACAGCTGGTTTAAAACCAGATTGTTATTTTAAAGTTGAAAGTGATGATGTACGTGAAGTTATTGATTGTTGTATACGTACGAATAAAGAAGAACGTTTATCTGTACATGAATTATTACAACATTCATTTTTTCATGATGATATTGGTTTACGTATTGATCCTGTACGTGATTCAGCAAATGATTTACAAGCATTAGTTACGAATGATTCAATTGATTTAAAATTAAAAATTACTGATAAAACAAAACGTAAAGCATTATGGACTGAACATGAAGCTATACGTTTTCGATATAATTTTACTAGTGAAACATCTGAACAAATTGTTGATGAACTTATTGAAAAAAAATATATATTTGATGATGATAAAAAATTTGTTATACAATCAATTAAAGATCGACTTCGTGCTTATCAATATGAATTAATTGATCGAAAAGCAGGAGTTTTTTGTACAGGCTCAAAATCAACTATGAATCACACACCACAACCATCACTTGCTGCACAACAACAACAACAACAGCAGCAGCAACAACAGCAACAGCAGCAACAGGTACTACCACCTCAACAACAACAACAGCAACAGTTACCAGCAACACCAGTCATAACTCAACATCAAATAGCGACAGTTCCTTCTGCTACACCAACACCTACCATTATTCCACAGCCACAAACTGACATACAACAACAAATTGCTAAACCAACATCTGAACTTCCACAAACAAAACCTATGGCAATGACAGAACCAATACCAATTGCACCTATACCTGAACTTAGTTCAAGTGTATCTGGTTCCGGTGGAAGTCTTGAAAAGCTTGATGCAGCTTTGAAAATAACACTTTTTAATAAAACAAAATCGTCACAAAGTATGAGTGTGAGTTCAAATTCAACTATTACGAATGATATTAGCGAGCCACCAACACCAATAGTTATTCAGGATGATTCATCAGTATCACGGATAGGAAGTGATACAGTCATCATTGATCAACGACAAGTAAAAGAATCAGGAGGATCACAAACTAACGAATTGACACCAAGTGAGTAATCATATAGTATATAAACTCTAATTATTAATTATTATTATTCTTTCTATTAGATATTTTTCCATCTTCTTTACCATCAACAATGCAATCACAACCTCAATCAGCAACATTATTAACAAATCATCAACAACAGCCAATATTACAGAATCCTCTTCTTTCAAATCAAACACCATCGAGTTATTCTTATATGCCAATAACTCCTTCTCCACATCTTATTAATACAACTTTATCAAATGATCCTACAAAGCAATTGATACCTTCTTCTTCTTCTTCAATTATACCAGAGACTATTGAAAATAGTCATACATTGATATCTCCTTCACATACACTTGAAAATATTCAATCTGCTCTTCCGTCAGATACATCAGTAACAACACAACCACCTGTAAATAAATTTATAATAAAAAGACGAATATCTAAATCTATTTCTTTATATTTATTAGATGATGGATAGTTTAAAACATCTCGATGAACTTCTTAAGAATGCATTAAAAAATCCAAGTAAAACTACAAGTACAGCACATAATAGTGATACAGAAACATCAAATACTAATAATTCAATACCAACTAATAATGAAACTTCAATTAAACCAATTGAAATTGAATTTGATGAAATAAAACATAAATTACTTGATCAACTAAATAGTTCAAATTCAATGGTCTCATCAATTATTCATTCTCAACCTAATATATCATCATTAGTTCTTCCTGTACCAGTTCAACAAGTTAAATCTCAACCGACAACAAGTCGAATATCAACTCAATCAGATCTATTAGCATCATCACCTGATAGAAATATACATGAATTAGAAACTTTACTTAAAAGTCCATATAATAAATTATCATCAAATGATGATACAATTGTTGCATCATCATCATCGACAACTGCAAATGATTTATCTGAAATCAAAACAATGATTATGGATTTAAGTCGAACATTATTAAATCGAATGAATCTAATTGAAAATAAAATTGATGAACATAGAAATCAAACAATACAGTTGAATAATTTATTATCAACAGCTATATTACCATCATTAGTTGATCTAGCTGATATTATCTATGAAACACCAAATTTAGATTCACGTATAAGGACTAGACTTGAAAGTATTCAAACAAATATTCGAACAACACAACAACATACTGAAATGAAAGATTTAATGGAAATTTAATCTTTTTCTTTTCTTTTAATATTTAATTATATATGTATGTCTCTACAAGTGTCTCTTTTTCACATGTACAGTTTCTCTTCTTTTTTTTCTTCTTTTTTTGTTGTTCTCTTTATCTTCTTCTTCTTCTTCTTTCTTTCATCATTATCATCATTGACATAAATGTAAGTACGAGGTTAATGATAAAAAAAAATCATATACACAATTTTATGTGTCAAAAGACGAATTGTTAAACATTTTTCATTATGTAAAACGTTGCTCTTCAATAGCTAAGTAGAGTTTAAATATAATCGGTGAAAAGTATTCAATAATAGTTTTATCAAAATGAGATTTGTTAAACCGCAATTTGTCCACTACGAAATATTATATACAAGTCCAGTAAAAATATCAATGATTTTTGCCTTAGAAACATTAATAATGTTTATATAGTCATTTTTAATGGTATTCAACAAAAGTAATCATCAATCAAGATTTGTATTATATTGAAAAGTAAATTGTAAGTGCAGAGAAAGTAAAATAACAACACATTAAAAGAAAAGGAATGATGTTGAATACTTTCAAAACATTTTCTCATGTCACTGTACATCGTAAAGATACTGTTTCATATACTTATTATTAATGCATTGGCATGCGTTTTTATGGTTTATATTTTTAAAATGGTCTGTTTTTTTCTCTTGCAGAATATTATCTCAAATCAATATGAAAGGTTAAATTATACAACAAGTAGGTTGAAATATTTCAATAACTAAACGATCTATAGTAGTTTTATTATCCTATTGTTCGTTGTCTATAGTATATACGAAATTTTTCACAAAAAAAGAATATTAGTGTATTCGAGTTTCATTCAGAAAATAATAAGCATACATGATTTTTCAATATTTGACAAGGATAGAAAAGAACGAAGTATTTATTACATAAAACAGTATTTTCAAGAATATGAAAAAGATATTCATTATTCACAAAGTCAAGAAGGAGCGTCGAAAATTAGTATTATCTGTTTGTCAAGAACTTGAAAAAGAACTTGATATAGCCATCTACAATCAAACAGTTTGCCATTATTTTCATAAACTTTTATTTTGCAGTCGAGCCCCTCGAAAAAGCCTTACATAAACAAAACAAATAGAGCTAAATGTCTGAAGTATGTGAAGATATATCAGAACAATCACATCGACTTTTAGAAGAAACATGCTATGATGTCTGACGAGTCGAAATTTAATCTTTTTGGATTGTATAGAAAGTTTACGATATGACTCAAAATGTATAGTATCAATCGTTAATAAAATTAAGCCTGGAAAATACAATGATTTTCCAGCACGATATAGAATTTATAAAAGACCGTTTTTCTTATTGAAAATGTATATTATTATCTCTAGTAGTACCAAGAGGGTTATTTTTGACCCCACACAGTCAAATTTTCATAAAATAAAGATATTTTATTCTCTCGAATATTTTAAAAACACCGTGTGGGATGAGTACGCAGAGTGTTATATGCCCTTAAAACTCGAAATAAGGCCTGGTACTAGTAGGATTATTATTGAATAGTTTTCGAACTGTGAAAAATCATGTATGTTTATTATTTTCCTAATATAAAACTCGAGCATATCCATATTCATTTTTGAAAAAATCTCGTATAAGACAACGGACAACAAAATATTTCAATCTACTTGTTGGATAATCTTGGTAATTTATTATATTGAGAAGATAGATGATAGAAAAAAATACTAGATATATAATTATAGCAGAGTCTTATTAGAACTAAGAGTTTATTTTTATTTGTCGATTAATAAAAAGAGAAAGTATGATTAATAAATTAATTTATTTTATTAACATAATTCATATCCTCTACATATAATAAACCGGATAATTTTCAACTATTATATTTAATAATATATATATTTTTTAATTTACCCAATCCTATTTTTTGTCTATGTGCATATCAAAAATCAAAGTACGTTTGTATTGGTGTCCATATTTTCCCGTTATTGTCTTTTGGATTTATTTAACTTGTGCTGCCACACATAAAATATACTATATACCAAAAGTTATATGATTGTATTCATCCAATCACATATGTTTTATCAAATCGGCTGTTCGAAGTCCAAATAATTATCTATAAAACCAAAAAAAACGTTTTAGATCATCGATGCGTTCCTGTGATTCTCGTAATTGTATGTCATCATCGAAAGCAATGGCTCGATTAGTAGCTGTATGTCAAAGAGAACAAGTATTATCATTTGATAAACGTCAAATTCCGATCAAAATAGATGAAAATCTCACTGTAAAAAATTTATTTAAATAATAGACAAAAAGATTTGAATTTCTATTTAAATTAGATGAAACTTCAATTTGATGATACATTTATGAATTCTAATCATTGTGGTATTAATAAAAAAAGCAAAACATATGATACATTTGTTAAAACATATAAAAAATTAACAAATGATGAATTACAAGACACATTATCTATACCTATTAGTCAAATAAAAGAATATATCCCTCGTTGTATATCATGTATTGGTTGTCGTACAAGGTTTTATCTTTGTTTTTTTCTTCGAATGTGATTATATTTTCAATTATTTCATTTTCTATAGTATTGATAGTTTTATTAAATCATTAATTGAACATCATCATCCAGCACTTGAACCACTTTTTATTAATGAAAAAGGATATTTTACAATGAAACACTGTTATAGTTCAAGTCCAGAGAATATTTATACATTATTTTATACATATGGGTATGAATATAAAATGAAGATATATATGTTTTAATTTAATTTTTCTAGTTCAAAATTAAATTCATTTATTGAAAGTATACCAAAATCAAAGAAAAATCGTCGATGTAATATACATTTATTCGAGAAAACAAAATCGATTAGGTAAAATAAATTAATTCGAAAGTTTGTTTTTATCGATTTTTTTGTTTAATAGTAATTGGGAAGTTGTTTGGGATTCAATGAATAAAGAATGTCGAGATGAAGTAACTCTAGTCGAAAATGATGGTTTATTTAAAACATTAGAGAATTATTTATATAAACATAGGTATGAAAGCGAAAATTGAGATTTTAGTTTCAATGATAAATATTTATTTATAAAATAGATTTTGTTCAGAATGTAAACTTAAAGTCTCAGAAGCATACGATCTTTTAATTAATAATTGTGATCATAAACATCAAGATAGAAATGGATTTTGTCCAACTTTATATGAAGGTAAGTTAAAAATTTTTAATCGTACAAATATGAATAGAATTTGATAATACTATCGATTCGAAATATTTCCATCTCATCAAAACACATATTTATTATGATAAAGAAACAAAATAATTTCTTCGTTACACGAAGATATTTCAAAAATGTTTTGAATCTAACTTATCTATAGTTAGTAATAAAGTTCATGCTGCTTTGAAATGAACAAAACATAGACATAGTAATAGTATATCTGAAATTAATGAGACATATTCAGTACTCTTTTAAACACCAATAAAAAAATACATGCTATTATAATGCGAAATAAATCACTAAAAAGATGTTCTATGACAATGTTCTCCAGATTCTTTTTTACACTTTGTACGATTGCGAATAAGCTCTAAAAACGAATTTTTATATAGTCGCCTGTTTCATCTGAGAATCGTTGTTCATTCCTTTTCCAAACTTTCGTATTTTTTCGCAAAATTTATGATTAATCTTCTACTTTTCTTCTATTTAAAATTTAGGTTTACGAACATGTGCTAATGATAAACATATTCATATTGATGTTAATAAAGAATTTATTGGTAACTTAATAGCACGTGCTGAACCTGATATTGATGGTAGTCAACGTGAACGTCATGCTAAAACATTAGATATTGCACAAGAAGAAGTATTAACATGCATTGGAATTTATTTATTTGAAAGATTCGATAAAATCTATCGTACAATGAGATCTGAAGAGCAAACTTGGCAATTATTGTTTTATATAGTTATTGATTGTTTAAGATTAAGTAAGAATTGTAGAAGATTATTTTTCAATATTTGATAGAATTTTAATTTTGTTTTAGATTTTGAAACAGCTATTGATCGAAAGCAAGATTTTAGTATGACATTAGAGAATTTATGTGAAGAATTTCGTGTTGCCGATGAAATGAAATTACAAAAAAAACAACAAAAACGTGCGAAGAGAAAAGCTCGTCGACAAATAAAACCTAATGAAGTTTGTTTTTTTTTGTTTCTCCTAAAATCTTCTACTATATCAAATATTATTTATATAGGATAAAGATGTTATAATAATTGATCAAGATGATGAGAAAATTTCATCAGAAATCAAATTTCCATCAATTCGTGCTCGAGCAAATAGTTGTTGTTCTTGTTTATGTTATTATTGTCATGAAGAACGATCAAATTCTCTATTACCTATTCATACAATGTCATCTTCAAACTCTTTTATTAAATCTCCATCATGTCCTTCATTATTATTATATTCGTCTGAATGTTCATCACATCAAGTGATTAAAGGACATAAAATATGTTTATCAAGTTCACTTGAAACTTTATTTTCATCAGTTTCAACACGAGATTGTGTGTGTCATGATAGAAATCTAGGTAAAATATTTTTATTTAGTCGAATGATATAATTCTTTACTTTTTATATTTAAGACAAACAAACAGTATTGTGTGATGAATGTCCTACATCTTCGTCTACATCATGTCTCCGTTGTTCAAGTACACGAACTGATCTAGGTTATTCATCAGGTAAATAAACATATATTAGACAGATTTATCTCTTTCATCAGCCAGAATTATATGGGGATCTTTTAATAATTCGTTCTGTGTATTTTGAAAAGTGTTCTAACAGAGGGAAATTGTGATATTTTGATTAAAATTGTAGTTTTGACTCGAAAAATAGAATTTCGTTAAAATCCGTTAAATAGACAAGTTTTCTGTCGACTTAGCTGTAAAAGGCTATTCTCATCTACAAATTAAATTTGAGAGGGCTAAACACGTTAAAGAAAAGTCTCAGAAAACAAAATTTTTTCCAAGGTGATAATTTCTTTTATTTTAGGACAAGATGATGTATTTTCATCTGGCCCATGTGAATGTTCATCCGTATCATGTGATACATGTTTAATTAAATGTCCATTACATGAAGTCGATGAAAATTGTAGTGATTCAATTTTATCTACTGATGCTTGCAGTAATATTTGTTGTATTCATGATAGAATAATAGGTAAAATATAGAAATATATTTATATGAAATAATATTATTTAATTATTTAGATTGCTCAAAACCAATAGAATTATATGATACAACTAGAAAAAATAAAGTGAAAGTACGTAATTGTTTAAGACAACCTTGTTTTTCTCTAATAATTGTTTCTTTTTCTAGTTACAACTGTCTCATGAATATCCGTTTTTTACCATGGATCTAAAACAAATTTGGGTAAATATCGAATAGAAATCTTTTTTATGTGCATCAGTTGTGATTTCAAATTGAATCTTATTATCTAATGATACCCTCGACTAAATTTGTTATTCATATTTCGCAGATCGTTCCTAAGCAACTTTTGATTTCAGTACATTATGTAAGATTTTATAACGAGGTACAACAGATCGACTTATATTGTAGTGAAATGATTAACTTCATTAACAAGCTAGATACTAAATCAGATGATTGTTCAGTCTATGAATAAATTTACTAGATATTCAAAAGTTCGATTAGAATTAGTATACAATCTACTCAAAAATGTGAAACAATAATTGACAAAACTTCGGCTTCGAATATTAAAATAATTTCTTTTTAGGATGATCCAAATTCGTCTATAATGGAAAATAAATCATATATATCTACTGATGATATTAATGATTTTCTACTACACAATACTCATTTAGAAAGAAAACGTGCTCAGTTACGAGATCAATTGAAACTGAAATGGCAACAACAAGCCAATCAACGATTTCCATTTAAAACTTGGACAAAATAGCAAATATATATTTTTTTTCTTGTTTGTTCTTTTCTATCCTATATATCTATTTCATAATATAGTTTACATTTAGGTTATTGAGAAAGAAAAAAAAAGCGAAATATATAAATCCTAGTGTAATTTGACAATTTATTAATTAATTTCAAAAGAAAAACATATAGAAAATATACTTTATTATTGCATCAAAATTTTTTTCTTTAATTCTTTTTCTTGTTGTTCTTGTTGTTCCTTCATTTTTTCAATCAAATCAGATCGATCTAATAATCGTTCAATATGTTCATCTGATATAACATCATTTTCGGTAATAATTAATCGTTGATCGATTTTTGTTATACCTTCAACTAATTCAGCTAAATTAACTGATTTAGCTTGTTCACCTTGAGGATCAAACGACAAAACCTAAACAATTAATTAGACTTTATTTCGATAAAATATTAAGATTAACGTACTGTATCATATGCATCAAAACCTTGTTTAAGTTCTAAAAATAAGAAATTTAGATTAAGCAAAAAGAAAATTATCAAACAAACCATCATGAACAATTAATTTCTCCATAACTTGTTTTGAACAAGCACGTTTATATACTCGTTCATCAATAGTATTACGAACAAGAAATCGATAAACAATAACCGGTTTGGTTTGACCTATACGATGAGCACGATCTTGTGCTTGAATATCAATCATTGGATTCTATAAGTAAAGAATGTCAAATTAAATCTGGTTTCGATTAAGCTAAGATTTATTACCCAATCTGAATTGAACAGTATAACCGTATCAGCTGCCATTAAATTTAAACCTAAACCACCAGCTCTTGTACTAATTAAAAAAATAAAAACATCTGGTTCTTTATTGAATGTTGTAATCTAAATATTCAGAAATATTTTAAAATTATGTTTTAATTTATTATAATAAAGAAAAAACATACAGCATCGATTCGTTCTTCAAAACTTGTACATCCATCAAGTCTTGTATAACCATAATTTCGATGTTCACACATTGCTTCAAGTAAATCAAGAAAAATAACTAATGTTGAAAAGATTAATACCTAAATTCATCATAGTTTGGTTTTTTATTTATTTCGTCAAATGAAATCTTACTTTATGACCAGTTTTATTTAATTTTCCAAGCATTTTATCCAATAAAATAAATTTTCCACTACTTGTTATTAATTCTTCATTGACAAGAATTTCTCCATTTTCATCTCGTGGTGCATCAAGTAAATATGGATGTGTACAAGCACGAAGAAGTGGAAAAGTTACACTTCGACCTGTAATCTTCTTCGCTATAACATCATCTCTGAAATAGATAATAAACTTTTGCAAATCATGAATTGATCGAAGGGTAGCGAGAAAGAAGAAAAAAGAAGTAAAAATCCATGCCAAGAGACAATTTCAAAAGTTCAATATTTTCTTTATAACTATTGCTAACTACAGCTCTGGACAGAAGACCGGCCTCACTTAGATTTTTTCCATTTAATCACTTATGCAGTCATTGTGTTATTAGACGGATGATTCGAAGACAAATAGTCATCAGTGACTTGTACAGGGTCATCCTATGTCGGGTAGAGAGATAAACGAAATACTTTTAGGTAAGCGTTAGGAGTATCTCAGTAACATACTATGTATATTAGATTGACAAAGGTAGTTCACCACTTGGTTTTTGCTGTCTCTTTGTCTTTTTCATATACTGTGATAAACATTAACTAAGATTTATCCTTCACTTCGGTAGTTGTTTTTGCAAAGATACGTTACAAATTCCGTCAAAAACTTCTAATACAAAACAACAAAATCTCCAACGGTAAACTTTCGTGATAGTTTATTAGATATCTCTCAGAAATATGTTGCATACACCTCAGTAAAAGTTGTTTTAACTAGTGAAGAGAAGGAAGTATCGATTTCAAATAGCATTAGTCGAAATTGATATGTTTTTGTGTTTCTAGTATCAACTATTTTAATATCAAAGGAATGTGTCTCATAAAGTTTTAGTTCAATGTTTAATTACTTGTGTTCTAATGGAGTATCATCATGTTTACGTTGACTTCTCAATCGTACGTCATCATCAAATACTTTGACAAATTCATCTTTTTTTCGCTAAAAAGAAATAATATTTATGAAATTAAGATAAGTTCCATTTGTTTATTGCTTTACATCATTTATATAACGACGAACAATTTCATCGACCAGTTTATTATACCATTGAACTTGAAGACTAGTCATTTTTGTATATACAGTAACTTCTTTTTTAGGTGGTAAATATAAATTGACATCAGCTTTTCGACGTCGTAAAATAAATGGAATAAGAATCTATGAGAGAAAAAAAATCAAATATCACAAAACAAAATTCATTTTTACTTGATGAAATATTGATAAAACTGATCGTTCTTGTTCTTCTTTAAAACTCATATTTGAATTACTTATTGTATCAATTTCAAAATAACGTTCAAACACTTCCTTTAAAAAAAATTATCAAAATACATTTCTGTTATTTGAGGTTAATATATTTACTGGTTCATCAAATATTTCAGGTAAAAGAAAATTCATTAATGACCACATTTCACTCATATTATTTTGAACAGGTGTACCAGTCAATAAAAATCGACTACCTGTTTGTATACGTCGAAGCATAACCATTAATTGACATTTGGGATTTTTTAATCGATGGCCTTCATCAATAACTAATAATGGCCATTGTTCTCGTTTGAAAAATGCTCTGAAGAAAAAAAATGATATTAATTAAATAAAAAGAAAATAATAACATTTGCTTTTTGTTTTAATTACTTGCTACTTATAATAACATGATAGGCTGTAATAATAACAATAGGTGCTGATTTTTTTGTTTGACGATATTGCTTGAGCTCTTGTTGAAGTTCAGCTAATTTTTCTTTATTGCCGTGATAGACCATACAGGTTATCTAGTAAAAAATAGGAGAACTAGAATCAGATTGAAACTAAACAAACGTAATTCCTCTTATCTCTTTTCTGAAAACAGATTGAAAATAAACTAATGTTCATTAATATTTTCTAATTCAGATAGGTCTTGAAATATAAAGGAAGATATTTGCTTGTCCTTTGACTTTATGATACTTAGTCAGAAATCTTCGTTCGTGCATTTCAAAAAGTTAACTAGATGAATTCTGACGTTTTTACATATTATATGTACTTGACGGCTAATTACAAAATTATGAAAAAAACAAGTCGTTCACAGAAATCAATTTAATAAAATTCTTGTTTTTCCGTTTGATAACTATCGATGTAAACATATGTATCGATATGATACTTACATTAGGTGCAAATCGAGCAAATTCAGTACACCAATTAGTAAGTGTTGAAAGTGGTGCAACAACAAGAAATGGACCAGGTGCACTATCTTGAACTAAACTGCAAATAAATGCAATGACTTGAACAGTTTTACCTAAATTAATCATAAATAATTATTTATAAAATAAAGAAGTATATTTTCTTACCAAGACCCATTTCATCAGCTAAAATTCCATTAAGACCAACTTCATGTAATGTTCGTAACCACTCAAGACCAGCTAATTGATCTAAAAAATTCAATTAGATTTTTAATTTAATCAAATAACAAAGAAAAAAAATGAAATTTACAAGGTTTAAGTGACCCAATAAATAATTTTGGTTGTCGAGCGTGAATATCTTTATCAGACATTTCATAATATTTTTGTAATAAACCAGTTCGTTTCATATCATCTTCAGCTGATGTTGTTTGTTCATCTTTGGATTCATTCTTGATTTTTTTATTATGTTGATGTTCAGCAAGTGATTGTTTAACTTTTGTATTAAGATGATGAACATATTTTTGACAACGTTCAAGAAGTGTCAGTAATTTTGAATAAACATTATCATAAAGTTCACGTCGTTCTTCATCACTCATTTTCTAAATGTAAAAAATAAATTATTATTATTACAAAATAAATTTAAATCTTCTTACTTTATTTGATTCTGGTTTAACTGAACCCATAAGATCTTTAATAACTATATTATCAGCTGCTTTTTCTTCTTGTTCAATTTGCTTATCTACAATATTCTCTTGATTACTTTCATCTTCATGATCACATGTAGACAACGAAATTAAATTTATCATTTCCTCGTCATTTGGTGTTTCAGCACTTTTTAATCGTTTTTTTGGTGGTTCATCAAACATTTTTGAAGGAGATTTTTTATTATCTGTAAAGAAAACAAACAATGGTTTTATATGGTATGTCCTATTGGAATAAGAAAATTTACCGCCGTTTTGAACTTGTAACACAGATTTCATATCATTCGAATGACCGTTATTATATTGTGTATCCATTTCAGCTAATTTTCGTTTTTCAGCCATGATATATATATATATAGATAGAAAGATTATATAACGAACAAGAAAATTCGGTGCACTTGTTAACCTACATTGTCTTAACGATTCTAGCGACATCGATTATTAACCAATATTGAATTACTAGATATTTATTAAAACATATATGTATAGAATTTATTATATTTTGATTCTTAATAAGACTAATTAATCTATATTGCTAAGTAACCAAATCTATTATTGTCAAGGAAACCAAAGAAAGATCTTAGAAAAGAGTGTTAATTGTTAAACAAAAGACTTTAGAAAACAATGAAGCGTTTACAGAAGACAAGGAATATATATGATTGTTTAACATCGGAGAAGAAAATCAAGGCAAGCATATTGTCTTTTTTGTCGGAAGATCAGAATATCTACAGTTGACATTTCCGTGATATCATCATTTTTTTTCAACAAATACATAGTATAACCTTTCAAGACAATTTATATTATTCTAGCTTACAACAAACTTCAAGCCATCAGTATTCTTCATAAAAAATGATCTTGTATGTAAAACTGAATTGCAAAAAATTTATCTTTCATATTAAAATCCGTAGGATGAATTCCGAGAACAATTACCAATATCTCCTACAGATTCCATTGAAAACTATCAGATAACACCGCTAACATATTTTGATGAACAAAATAAAATGATAAAAACATTCGTTAGTAAACATATATGTTTCTTCTAACTTTAATAATAATGAAAAAATAGGATAATGCATTACCAATTGAATATCGTGCGTGGGAAAAATCAATAATCTATCATTCAAATATGATTAATCTATCGAAAACAGAAGAAACAGGTTGGATACCAACACGTGATTGTCGAACATTGGCTACTTATCAAAAAGAGATATTAGGTGAATTTAATATATTCAAATTTCGAAGTAAAAAATTAACTTATATCTTCATAGGACATCAGAATAATTTCATAGAAAATATTCGATTTGGTAGATTGAAAATTTAATCAATTCTTTTTTCTTTATACAGACATACACATAGATGACCGAAATCGAGCTATAAATTGGCATTCAATATTTCCTTTTAATGATAGTATTATATTAAAAAATATAATGGATAATCATAATTTTCAATTTGATTTGAATGTAATATAAAAATTTGAAATTTATTCAAACTAAACTTGTGTATAATATAGTACAAACCAAAATATATCAATCCTCAGCAAAATTCAACAGTATTTGAAATACCAATAGAACCTCATATGATTCCTATTCGAAAAGAAAAAACAACGATACATAAAAGAATTAATTCTTTAAAAAATAATAAAGTTTGTTGCATTCTTTCTGAATATTTTCGAATATATATATGTATATAGGAAAGTCGTTTACATCGAACACGCAATGTTCTTGCCCGTGTAGGTTTAACCGGTGTTTTACCTGATAATCACGATGATTCTCATTATCATCATCATCATCATGATAAATATAAAGAAACAATTAAAATCAAATCAACTAATTTTTGGAATTTAAGTAATGATTTTTATTATGATTTAAATACTGAACAAGATTTTCAATCTAAACGACGTTTAAATTCTTTACAAGTATGAAGAAAACAAAATTCATGAAATATATTCTCTTTCTCGTAGAGAAGAGTCCAGTAAACATAAATTGTTTGTTTGCGTGCTTGTGTGTCCGCAGGGTCAAAAAAACATCGAAAACCGATTTTTCGATGCGGGGACTTCGGATATGAGGACTGCTGGGTGACCATGGTGAGCGGAGATGGGCTGAAGAGGACGCAGAGGTTGAGTGTGCGCGCGACTGCTACTTGAATATAGTATCGGTATCGACACCCACACCCACCCTCTGTCGACGAGCGTTACTTGTTTATTTTAATTTAGAATCATAATTTTATATTCTATCCAATATTTCGTACAATAAATCAATTACGTTATTTTCATCATCCATTACTTCATTATTCAAATATTGATCATCGTTGGATATCAATTCAATTGTCGAATATGAAAACTTTGGATAAATCTATTCGAATTAAATCTGATTTAACAGGTATATGCGGTGAAATACTTTTCTTTGAATATAGTGAACAATATCCAGTATTATTAAATGAAATTGGAATGTTTAGTAAAATTCGAACATATCTTCGACCGGTAAAATAGAACAAAATTTATTTGAAAAAATAAACTCGTTTTATTTATATTAGCAACATTTTAAAGCTGATATAAATTCAGCTGAAATTGATTATGGTGAATTAATTTATACACATGCATCACCATTTCTTTGGTCAATACCACGTGGTTTAAATATTCAAACAATAGAAAATAATATGTTTCTAGCACCAGTTTATCGACAAATATGTTTAAAAAATGATTTTTTAATAATAATTAATCGAAAACGTGAATTTTGGATACGTAATATAAATAGAATTTATATTATTGGACAACAATGTCCATTAATTGAAGTACCTATACCACAATCAAAACGTGTCAATTTATTTCAACGTGATTTATTACAAATATATATCTATCGATTATTTTTACAAAGTAATGAAATACCACGTCGAATACGTATTGATGATATTAAACGAGTATTTCCACGTATGGCTGAATCATCAATTCGTAAACGATTAAAAACAAGTGCAGATTTTCGACGAACTGATGATTGTAATTCATGGATATTGAGAAATGATTTTCGATTACCGACAGAAGATGAAATACATGATTTAATTAAACCGGAATTTTGTTGTGCATATGCATCTATGACTGCAGCTGAACAACGTTTGAAAGGTATTTCTAGTCTTTGTTCAATCGGATTTGAAGATAAGACTAAATTTATTATTGTATCAATAGATGCTGGTTTTCGTGATAAATACAACCTTGGTTTTGATGATGAAGATGATGATGAACAATCGAACCATTTATCTGAACTTGACGATGAAATTTTACAAGCACCTTGGAATACAACACGTGCATATCTTAGTGCATTGAAAGGCAAATGTTCAATACATGCATTTGGTATTGGAGGTAAATAGAATATTAATTCATATTCAACTATTGCGAGTTTTTTTCTTCTAGCTAAAACTATTCATAAAACTAAAGTATGAATAAAGAACATATATTAATTTAAATACGATATATATATGTATTTAAATTATAGAATAATAATGATTTAAAACATCTACGTCGAGCTGTAACAGGTACTGATGCTGATCTTCGTCGTTTACAATTAAAAGATGCAAGAAAATTATTACTGAAATTTAATATATCGGATAAAATTATTCAATCATTAACACGATGGGAAATTGTAGATTTAGTAAAAGAAATATATCTAAATGAAATCATGTTAACTCTATTTCAAATAGGTACGAACATTATCAACACAACAAGCAAAAGAAGGCATTGGTGGTGGTATAGAAATTCTACATTGAACTTTCTTTCTTATCTATTTTTTGTTTTCTCGAAGGAATGTTGAAATATGCTCGAGGTGCAAAACATCTCCAAGCTCAACAATTTGAAAAATATAAAGAAAATTATCAAAAACAATTTGAACTTCAAAATCAGTGCATATGATTTTATTATTAAATAATTCAAAAAATAAATTTCTCTCTTAGGTTATTTACTTGTACAGATCAACAATTAACTGATGAAGATTTATCAGATGAAAGTGATGAATTACTCGATGAAATGAGTCAAACATTAGAAAATCTTTTACGAGAACATACAACAGTATCCATTTCGAATAAAGTAAAAAAAGAATCATTTGTTTTTCATTGGTTGTTTATTTAAACGTTCATTTAGTATAAAAAAATGTTACATATTACTCGAACTTATATTGATAATCAAGGAGAATCTTATCAACAAGAAGAATTTATTCGAAATAATGATTCCGTTATTCAAACATATATTAAAATACGTCAAAATAAAAGTGATAAATTTATGTAAGGAATTTTCTGAAAAACTTCATAATATCTTATATGATTGACTTTATTTAGTAAAGCATATTATGCATTGGATAATAATGAACGTGAAAAATTAAAACGAGAACGTCGTCGTCTTCAAGAACAACTTCGACGAGTAAAACGAAATGAAGCCCGTTATAATCAATATGAAAAGCAACAAATGTTATTAGAAATACAACAACAAAATCTAGCATTGATAAAATCAACTCAAGCATATCAACCACCATTATTATCATCGAAATCAATAACTTTACAACGTTCAACTAGTGTTCTATCTAATTTACAATTAAGTATGAGCGAAGATGATGATAACTCTTCATCATCAAATCTAAACTTTTAAAAACATCAATTATACCACTGTTCTTTTTTCGTATTGAATACTTTACCTTTTTTTTCTCTTGTCTTCATTTAACAATATGTATGTATGTATGATAATGTATTCTACCACTTGATCAAGTGTTTTTCAACTTTGTATAAAGACAAAGAAAAAAAGAACAAGTCGGCAAACAAAAGTAATATATATATATACATGTCTTTTTGCTAATCATCATTACGCCCAGCAGCAGTTGTAAAAGCGCACAATACATATATAGTTTCATTTGTACAAATCGCGTTTGTACCGTCAGTGAAACCACTTTATATTTATTCATACATTACTGCTGCTTGGTTACAAAATCAAAAGAGATCATTCAAAATCAATAAAAAAACTGAGAGAAAGAAAATGTTTAGGTTTTTTTTTCTTTATTTAAAGGTTAGATCTCTTATCGATTTGTTTGTATTCATATTGGTTGGAAACCTTCATTGATACGGAAAGAGAGTACAAATAATGAAATGAATTGAAAAAGAAGATGCACGATATTGACACGCGCATGTATACATGGTCACATTATTATTGCGCTTGGCTAGTTCATTAAAAAATTATAATAAGCATTGCAATACACAAGAAGAAAAGGTTGCTTGAATACATATATTACTTTCATTGTTATTTACCACATCGTATCAAAACAAATTGTCATGCCCGATTCCTATAGGCAAAACGATGAATACACCTATAGAAAATAATATGAATCGATAATTTGTTTTTCAAAATCAGAAAAAAAATAAATTTCAAAAAAACCAAAAAGTTTCAAAATAAAATACATCGTGTATTTCATTTGAAAAGAGGATGTTATATGTGTTTTATCTTTTTCATTGATACTTTCTTCTTCAATACTATGATCGTTTATCTATGATTATATATCTTTCATTTAATTTACACATACCAACAACGTATCATCCCCGATCAATCAATTTCTTTTTCTACTCGCTTTTCGTATTCAATCAATGTACATTTTCTCTTTACGCTCATTGGCTTGTCGATGCATGCATGCATATATACACACACTTACCGAACAAGAGAGAGAGAGAGAAAGAAAAAGTAAAAATCATCTTTTTCTTTTTAACATTACTGTCACCTATTCATACCTTTAGAGATACATTTTTCTCGCTTGTGCGTGTGTATGTCGTTCGCTTTTTTTTTTTCTATTAAATATTTGCAAAACAATTATCACACAAGAAAATCGACAAACAGCCAAGACATCATCGTCACTGATTGGTAGAATAGAGCATAAAGGGAGAGAAAAAAAGAGAGAGAAAGCGAGAGAGAGAGAGAGCAAAAGAAAGACGACGAACACGATCGATTAGCGACTACATTATTGACTACTGACTGTCAATAGAAACTAACTATACGTACAAACGATATACAATATAAAATAACAATGTATCAATTTCCTCATTATTCTGATGCACTCAAACAATTTCCATCCGCTGCACTTTCAGCTTATTTTGCTGGAACTTCAAATGTTGGAAATAATATGCTTCCTAATTCTGCACATCATTCTTTAGCAGCAGCAGCCGCTGCTGCTGCTGCTGTTGTATCACATACAAATCCATTTTCTATTGATAATATACTTGCACCACGTCCACGTTTACCTGTACCATTATCATCTTATTATGGATCAACAGCAAATAATACAGCACAAAATGCAGCTGATTTCTATTGTAAGTAAACTTTAATAGATAAAGATAAAGGTATTAAAGCGAAAATTTTACCCCGATTGTGTTTTTTTTTATATTCACTTATGATAGATAAATGTGTTTAATTGTTAGTATGGTCATTGATTTATATTCTAACTAGATATTGTTTCCGTTTCATCACCTGTTTTCTCTAACTAAACATCAAGCTAGTTATTATTGTATTTTGATAGGATAGCATATTCATCAAAGATGATTGTTCATGTAAATAGAGGAATGATTTTCCACTATTGTACAAACATTAGAAGAAGAAGAAAACTTATGAATTTGCTTCTTTTGTTTTTTGTGATAGAAGTCAATTATCGTTTATATTGTATACAAAATATAATTTCTTTTAATCTTAATACGGGAGAAAGAACATTGTCTAATAATTTAAATAAATAAATTATTGAATCAATCCCTTTTTAGCTTATCCAGCATTACAAAATTTTTTTGCTGCGGCTTCAATGGCTCAAAGTCATAAACGAAAACGAAGACATCGAACTATTTTTACTGAAGAACAACTTGAACAATTAGAAGAAGCTTTTGGTCGTACACATTATCCAGATGTTATGATGCGAGAAGGTAAAAAAAAACGAAATGAATAATAATAATAATAATTTATAAATAATTATATTTATAGATTTAGCTATGAAAATCGATCTTAAAGAAGAACGTGTTGAAGTAAGTTGTTTGATATTCATATGTGTGTGTGTTTGTTTGTTTTTTCTCTCTTTAATCCTATAAGGTCATATAGAATTTTAAGAAAAAGAAATATTTGTCATCATTATTTCTTCTATTAATGTATAGAAGTTAGTTTTCATTTTATTTACCAATGATTTTTAATTTGTTATTTTAACAGTTTAATGATCATATGAAAATTATTTGATGAGCTTAAAGACGTGCGCGGCACTTAAATACTTTGTATTAAGTAACAAATAATGAAAAAAAAATATTCTGCATGTTTACTCGATTATATATATATATATATCGAATAGATTTAGTCAAAATATAATAAAACTTAAGAAATTGACTTTCCCTATTGGGTTTATTTGTTAGATAGAAGGTCATGAGAAGCTTTTATCATAATACTTACTAGTCTAATGAATAAGAAAAGAAGGCACTTGCCTATATAATGTCGAGTGATTTAAAAGTTTTATTCTTGTTTTTAAAAACGAAGAAGTTAATTTCTCACATTAGCCTCTAGGTGTGAAAGTATTCGATCGATTGTTGTTGTTGACATGACGACTTTTCTAATATATGCCTTTTTTTCTCCTTCTTCTTCTTATGAGCTGTTTTTATTGACAGAAGCAATCGAACGATTTAGTTCATCGTTTGCCAATTATCCGCTGATTGCTGGTTAAATAAACTTGACTGAACCCAAGTAAGAGAGAGATCAACTTCTCGCATTTGAAAGTGATCAAACTAAAGAATAAAGACAAAGAAAGAAAGATATATATGTATATAGAAGTGTCGAAGCCGGGATGATCTAAAGACAAAATTCAGCCTTTACTTTATTCTCATTTCATGTTCTTACTCTTACTCTTACTCTTATATGAAGAGATTTTTTCCATTTCCTTTTAACGCCGCCTACTCTCTTTGTATTCCATCACATCCGATAGCTCTTTTCTTTATTGAACAATATTAATAATAACAACAACAATCATTTGTTATTTTCTCTTACTAATGTTCAATGATGCATTTTTCTTTCGGTTATTGCTGTTAATAAGCTAATAACTCATAACATCATCATCATCATGCCAATACTCATATATTTGTCTACTTCCGGAATGAAGTTGATATACTACTACTAATAATATGACTTGATTAATTTTTATGCATGATCACACATGAAAGAGAAAAAGTAAAAGAGAGAGAAAAAAATGTACAACGGGCGAAAGAAGTTATGACCAATGAGCGTACGAATATTGATGGGTTGCACCTGCAATACAGAAAAAAGTTAACCAACCATGACATTATTCTTTCTTTTTTATTTGTTTGATCATTGATTGGAAATATAAATGATGATTTAATATTTAGGTTTGGTTTAAAAATCGTCGTGCTAAATATCGTAAACAAAAACGTGAAGCAACAGAAAGATGTAATCAGATTTATAATTATATATTTTCTATTATCTTAATCATAAAATTTTTGTTTTTTATTTAGGTCGTCGAGACGCTCATGAAAAATCACAACGTACAGATGGTGAAAGTACTGCAACAGGTTCATCAACACCAAGTGCTAATTCTAGTTCATCATTGAGTAGTGTTGGTCAAGAAGCACCAACGACTGTTGATCATTCACATCATTTAACGATATGTCCAACAATACCAAGTCATAATTGTGATAGTTCAGGATCAGATTCATCATTAGATATTCAAACACCACATTCACCAAATTATAGTCAACAACCATTAGCTTTAACAACAAATGGAAAATTAAATAATACAAATAAATCAACATCAATGAATAATAACAATTTTCGTAAAGAGACTTTTCCAATAAATCATATGAGACAACATATGACTTCATCATCATCATCAACAACAACAACGACAAACAATAATTCTACACCATATGTTAAACTGTAGAAATCATTTTTTTTGTTTTGTTTTTTTTTTGTTGTGTGTGTGTGTATGTGTGTATAGTATTTCTTCAATTGCGATTCTTTATTTTCTAGTTTGCTTGCCCTTGAACAGTGTCATCCTTATTTCTTGTTGGCAATAAAATAAATAACGAGCAAATCAAATGATAAGTTAATATCGACCAAAAAGAAAAAGACCTTAAGGATAGAATATAGTTGTCCTACTGTGATGAAAAGAAAAAAGATGGATATGCTGATCGATTATGTCTATTAATTAATTGAATGGCGGTATAAATATATGGGAATGTTATTTCTTTTTGTTATGATCAAAACTGATTTATCTACTTGAGAATATTGTCTTCAATGTTAAAAATTTAGATTAAAGATAAATGTAAGAGGAATAGTTATGATAGTGTTTGTAATTATTTTTTCAATTTTTAATTGATAACAAAATCTTGTTTAGTACGTCAAATATCAGTGAAGGCAATTTGGTTAATATGTTATTTTATGCGCATGATATTATCATCGCTTATTCATAAAAAATGTCATGTTCAAGATTTTCTAAAAAGATATTTGAGTTAAATTATAACTTGATATTTGAAGTTGTTTATATAGTCATATTTAGTCACACTTCAAGGTAAATTTTACCTGATACAAGCCTACAGAGTTATTTTATTTACTGACATATATAGATTCAAAAATAAATCTAATTTATTTTCTTCTCTTAATATTTATCGTTATTTTTATAATCATAGATTTAAATATGTATATTTTATTTTCAATTGTAATAAATGAAAAAAAAATAAAATTTTTGTTTATTTTTTTTATTAGTAATTTTATAATAGGTATATACAAGATACAATCATTGATAAAAAATTTTTTTTCAAAGAATAGCTTTTCGTCATAATTTGATGAAACATCATGTAATGATTGCATATTAAAATTGTCTTATGTTGAATAATATTTTTGACATGTTTCATTTTATTTAATTAACTGCATTAGTAACAACAAAATATTCTTAGATAAATCATGACTATGAATAAGATAATATTGCTCATTGTAAATATTATGAAAAGATTTTTTTATATGATATATTTTATTAAATAAAATATTACGAAATAGAGCCTTATGATTCAATATATTTGAGAGAAAGTTCTTGTTTAAATTACTTTAAAATACAAAACTATTACATACATCGTAATTTTACTTTTATTATTTGTATTAAAGTTAACTATTTTTCATTGATGAATTGTTTTTTACTGGTGAGAATCGTTGTGTTTGAAATCTAGATGGTACATGAGCCAAGACTCATCTGCGACATGCGATGCGAAGCTTGATTTCGAAATAACGACTTTGAGGTTTTCACAAAATTCTTGACATTCACGATTATAGTAAAAATTTATATTATCGAAATCGAGAATTCAAACTATCATATGTTGAAAGAACAGTAATGATTCATTATCTATCACCAATATGTTCATATTGAATATACTATAATTGCAATAATATAGTTTTATTTTACATAAATTCGCTTTCAACATACATTTATAAAAATATTTGAGTAAAATATTCAAAACACAACGTGCTTTATCATATATTTTTAAACTTTTGAATAATGCATCAATATGATGTGGTAGAGATAGAAATTACACTATATCTTGCTTAATTTTTCTTAATTGAGACTTTGCTTAGAGAAAATAATCCTAAAATGACTGGTTTTTATTTTCGACATCTCGTAGCTCATACTAGATAATGTTGCGTTATGACTTGTAATTCATTCATCTACAAGCTGCTGTTTTGGTTGTTTGTAGTTGATTGAAGTCATTTGGTTAAAGTAATAGATAGGGACTATATTGCTCAAAAACAAACTCTCGATGCTTATCTAGCAAGTTTTCTCTCATTTACAATTGTTGGTATCGAGATTAGGATTGTCATTGATAGTGTATGTATGTATGATCGAAATAATCGATGCAAATTAATATTGAAAAGTTATTTGAGTTGATAAATCGTGTAATAATTAGTTCTATATGTGATTGCTACATATAGAACAGACATAAATTATTGAATATACATGATATGGATGCACTCGTAGATGTTGGAAATTGAAAATAAATGCACTGTTATCAATATCAAATAAAAGGATGAAAAAGAAAAAGTGTATATATGATTAACAACAAATTATATTGTTTTAACATCTTTTCTTTTTCGCGGAGAGACACGATATTTGTTATTGTAGATAAGATTTATAATACTTGGATGTATGTTTTGCTTTTATTCTTTCGGGGAAATATTGCAATATAAATCGTTAGATGATAATATTCCAGCAATTAAAGAAGAATAATTTGTGAAAAAGCTATTTGTTTTTTCAAAGGCCTCTGTTAGAATGTCATCACTGTAAATAATGGTGAAATTGAACAGTCCACAAATTTTGTGCTCTGAATTAAATGAAATCTTATCGATCAGAAATAATTATAAAATTAAAAAGGATTCTTCAACATCTTCATGATAGATATTTTTGATTTATTCTAATCGAATCGATTGTTAACGGTAAATAATTATCTCATATAATTAGGGTGAGTGTGGGTATAGATGTGAGATGGAAATAATACCCACACCTACATTTAAATCCACACCCGTTAGCTTCGTCCATATACATATACATATACATATACATATAACATAGATATTGTCTATACCTTGTTAACAATATTTTCATACAGCGAGGTGCGCACCGAGCTGAATTCTAGAATTTCAGTTTAAATTAAATATGAAATGGTTTGATATTAATATAGATGGAATTTTTAGAATTCTAAAATTATGCAATAAATATATACGAAATGATTTGATCTCAGTACACATGGAATTTCCGAGTAATTAAAAGTCTAGTAGACTCGAGTTAGCATATTTTATACTATATAGTGTCAGATTACATATAAATCTTTGGAACATACGGAATGTAGTATGACAACACAGAAAATGTATAATGTGGCTTTAAGGCTACTAGAGTTATTATAAGGACCAGAACACGAGGATGTGGGTAAAGAAAAGATGGATCTGCACTCACACCCATACTCTTAAATTTTAGATTTTCAAAATAAGGCTACTGTTACAAGTTTTTAATATGTATTACTAACAAAAAAAAATATGTGTTCTTTTTGTTAGTGATAATTTTAACTGTTATCTGTGAAGAAAGTTGGAAAAAATGAATTCTTTTTTCTGTTCTTTGTACTCACCTGGCTGTATAACGTACATGAAATAATGCAAAGGACAAAGTTCTGTTGTAACTACTCAAAATAAATAAAAGAAGATAATCAACGACGCCATAAAAACATCAAGATAATGAGATCTGATTCTCATATAAAGAACGATACTCATTTGTTTCCATAACTATTTATTAATCAGCTCTTCAACTACATACAACTATCTACAATATACGTACCATGGATACGAAATCTTCAAAATCGAGCGCAAAATCGTCTCATGGAGCAAGAGTGTCTTATGCTCGTCAAGCACGACAACGTATGGCTTCAAATTACCTTCTCCTGTGGGTAGATGTCAGCATCGACGAACGAAAAAAGGATTGCCAAGATACACTCACCCAATTAAAGAACGTGGTCAATGATGTCAAGTTATGCACTGAACCGAATCAGTGCATCCAAGTACTCAACAAGACTGACAAAGAACGAGCCTTTGTCATAACATCAGGCTCGTTAGGTCAACATTTAGTTCCTGAAATTCATGGCATACCACAGCTAGATGCCATTTACATCTTCTGTGGCAACAAATCCAGACATCAAGGATGGAGTCAAAACTGGACAAAAGTTAAAGGTATCCATACAAACATTAAAGAAATATGCCAAGCATTACAATCGGCTGTTAAGCAATGTGACCAAGACACAATTGCTGTAAGTTTTCTAACGATAAATGATATGGCTTCAACTGAGAATTTAAATCAGTTGGAGCCAACTTTTATGTATACACAACTATTCAAGGAAGTTCTCCTTGACATTAAATATGATCGTACGGCGATCAAGGACTTAGCAGCTTGTTGTCGCGAAGATTTTAGTGGCAATTCAAGCGAATTGCAAGTAATTAATGAATTTGAACGTGACTATCGTCCAGAAAAAGCAATATGGTGGTATACACGTGAGTGTTTCACCTACAAAATGCTCAATCAAGCACTTAGAACATTGAACGCCGATATAATCATTAATATGGGCTTCTTTCTACGTGATGTACATCAACAAATTCAACAGCTGCATGAACAACAGGTCAGTAGTTATGGACGAAAAACGTTTTTAGTTTATCGAGGACAAGGTCTCATGAAATCAGACTTTGAAAAACTTCAGAAAGCAAAAGGCGGTCTTATGTCATTTAACAATTTCTTGTCAACTAGTAAAAATGAAATAGTGTCCCTCGGATTTGCTCAAGATGCTTCAACAAAACCAGATATGGTCGGCATTCTCTTTTATATGTCCATTGATCCTTGTATTAAATCAGCACCATTTGCTTCTATTAACGAACTTAGTTATTTCGAGGCACAAGAAGAAGAAATTCTCTTCTCAATGCACACCGTGTTTCGAGTGAATACAATTAAACAAACGGACAAAAAGAATCAACTTTATCAAATTGAATTAGAACTAACATCGGATGATGATCAACGGCTCCGAGTACTTACTGATCGGATACGAAAAGAAACTGGTGCACAGTGGGCAACTTTCGTCTGCCAGGCGGACATGTAGGTTTTTTCCTTGAAAATCGATTCCTATAGCTAAGAAATGATCATATATCACTTATAATACCATCTTAGATGAAATAAACCATGTTCGAAAAAAATTTTTTTTTTCTCTATAAATGCCTGTGGAGGACCTCAGCTAAAATTTTCGAGAAAAATTTTTTGTCAAAAAGTACGTATTGTTGTATGTCATTCGATGCAGTTTTACGTGCTGATTTGAAATATCACCTTGGTTTTTTGCTAAGATGCTGTTTTAAAGCATAAAGGGGACATTACTTCTTTTTTAAGGTTTTCTTGGCGTACAGGTCGAAAACAAATTTCAAAAAAACGCTTTTTATTACATATGGTTAGATGCAGTTTGATGAGCTGATTCCGAATATCACATTGGTTTTGCGTCAAAATGTTCCCTTCATCTCAAAACTAGCCATTCCGGGGCAGAAACCTGGGTTTTTGGGGGACCTCTAACTCGGCCTGTGTTCACTAATGCAACTTCGCGCTATGGTCAATGATAAATCACCCAAAGGAGAATGGATGGTAAAAATTTGAGCTCAATCGAGCGAGAATTCGTTGTAGGGTTCACAAAATACGGCCTGACCTGTTTTTTGACATAGTATAGGCCCAACAATAATTTTTTTTGTATTCCATTTTTGGTTCAATCCAAATAATTTTTTAATGCAATATACCTTATGGGTCAATCATTCGTTTCAGATAGTTTTTCTTTTTGAAATGTTTTGATAAGTTCAGAAAAATAATGGTTTTCGGAGAATTACCGATTTATGAGCAATTTTTGAGTATGGGCATTTTTAGGGGTACGACTTAATTTCTGGAAATTTAGTTTTAGGGTAAAATAGACTAACCATAGACGTATTCATTCCATTATTTGAACTTTGGAAAATAGAACTTTCGGTCATGTCCGCCTGGTTGCCCACTGTGTGGTGGTAATACTGGATGGCAGAGATTGGTTAAATTATTGCTTACAATTGGTCAATTTAATAAAGCTGAAGAACTTTATAATGTATTACTTGAACAGACATCTGATGAGGATGAAAAGCGGCATTATTATGCTTGTTTGGGATATGCCAAAGATAATCAGGGTGATTATAAAAAGGCTATTCGGTATTATGAAAAAGCACTTAAAATTCAACAAGAAACTCTTCCTTCAATTCACTCTGATTTGGCTACTCCATACAATAACATCGGCAATGTATATAACAAGATGGGAGAGTACTCGAAAGCACTTTCATTTTACGAAAAAGCACTTGAAATTGAACAAAAAACTCTTCCTTCAAATCATCCTGATTTGGCTATTTCATACAACAACATAGGTACTGTGTATGAAAAGATGGGAGAGTACTCGAAAGCACTTTCATTTTATGAAAAAGCACTTGAAATTGATCAAAAAACTCTTCCTTCAAATCATCCTGATTTGGCTACTTCATACAACAACATCGCTGGTGTGTATTACCATATGAAAGACTATTCGAAAGCACTATCATATTATGAACGTGCTCTGGACATATTCCAACGTGCATTACCTCCAACTCATCCTAACATAAAAAGTGTGAAAGAGAGTATTGAAATTGTAAAAAAGAAACTATAAAGAATAGTTGATAAATAAAAGAATTTTTTGTTCACTTGTTTTGGATTAATTCTAGCTTGTAGTTTCTCACGCGCGCGTACAGAGAACAGCTCTGTAATTAATAAAAATGTAATGGCCAAAGCCGACTGACAAGGTAATACACATAGATACGTATGTGTATAAATGACCTTCTCAGACATATTTAAATCTCTAATTCTTTACGAGATTGTTTCTTGTAATAAAAGAAGAAAAAGAAAAATCGAAAAAAATTAAAAGAAGAATAACGTATATGGTATTGAGTTGGAATACTATTGAATGAGGTCTCGTAGGATGAAGAAAAAGTGAGAAAGCTGATATATATATATATGGACATGTCGTCAGCGCATGCTCTAATTTCTTTTATTACGGAGAACACATTCGTAAAAAACTGGTATAATGATGCAAGTAAATATTCGCTTAATGATTTGTGCAATGAAACGAGTGTGATGCGGTCAAATTTTGAAGATTTGAGTAAAATTAATAATATAATGTCAAAACCTAGCTACATCGTCAAGAATAAATCGAAATCAAGATAAGATTAGTCTTGTTCATCTGAAGTTATTAGATGTCAACTGAGTTAGCTGATTGAACTGTAGTTTCAATGACTATTTAGATTCTGATAAAGTTTATACAATCAGTAGAGTCTATAGAATTAACTATTTTCTTTTGTGATCGAAATGGATAAGATAAACTCATCTAATACATAATTTCAATTTTTATTTGATTTCACATTATAACAATAAAGTTCAAAAGTAATTACTAATATATTTATTATAATTAATAAACTTTATCATCTGTTTCTAACAATAGAATTAAAAAAAAGCATATCTAAACGACATAATTTGACATTTTTTTCAAAATAATCAATATCCTTAATATGAAATGACAACATTACATAAAATTTATTTTATTCCAGTTTTACATATAAAATTACATATATAATTTGAAAAACATATATAGGTTTTTTTCAAAAGATCGAACCAAATTACATGCTAAAAAAATGAACATGACAAAATTTAATCATGGGTTTATAGTTAATAGATTAAAACTATTTCATATAGATAACATTATGTCTTGATATAAAACAGGATTTGCCATACAAGATGAATATTTCTTATTAAATAATAATTTAATGAGAATTACAAGTTAAAAATAACCTGCAATTTAAAAGTTATTTCTTAAAGTTAAACCAATTCTCGACTTGTTTATACAAAAAAAGATTATATTTTGAAATATTTGCTTAGTTGTACGATGTAATTAATTCCACATGCTGCATCATCATTCATCATTTGCATAATAAGCTACATGTTCTTGTAAATGATTGATATAGTAATCAAACTGAATGCAAAGTTTCATTCTATTCAATAATAGGTTTTAGAAACATCAGAGTTATGTTATATAATATAAAAATAAAGGCGTCTTTTTTCAAATTTCATTCGTATTCGTACTAGTTAAACTTTTCGTTTCTCTCAAAATTTATATCGTTTTTTACGATGCACTTAATGTTCAAATTAATTATACTTTAGCCTAGTGATTCATAGGTACAATATAAGCTATAATATGTTCGTCGACGATTTTTAAAATATTGAATAAATAAGAAAAAAACATAACTAGATTCCATTAATAGATTTTGTTAGTAATTAAAATGAATGAATCAACACTAGATCTATCCTAAAACATTCAGATTCTGATTATGTCTTATAAATTCCATATGTCAAGTTACTCATTCTGCATACTGTTTTACTGATAATGTGTAAAGCTGTGATTTTAATTTCAGTAAAATTTTTCTCATGATCTGACTACTCAGATATAACCAATTATTCGATTAAAGTAGAAAAATATAATTTATATATAACGACATCACTAAACAAGACATAATTTACTTGTCATATGAATAGTTTCTTATATCATTCAAATAAATGTTTTTCTGAATGTCCTGTTGTTGGACCCATAGAATGAAATGTAAAATATGATAGCCAAGATAATTGTTTTGTTAATGGAAAGAAATGCATATGATGATCATTTAGAAACTAAAGTAAACTATCTTGTGTTTGTTTTGGAATATGAAATAAAAGTTAAATTATTTACAATAAGTTCATTCTCATTAAGTAATGATTGTTCAAGATAATCTCCATCATATGTATCCACTTGAGGGTGGATATGGGCGAGTCTGTAGATGCATGTTCTCTTTATCTGCATCCGTATCCTTACCCACACCCATATCTAAAATCGGAAAAAAGAATGGTATCAGTTCGATTTTAATATATTCATCTCGTGCTTAAACGAATATGTTCTGATGTTCCGTTCCTGAAATAATTGCGACATAAAATGACAACTTTGAATATATAGGTCGAGAAAGTAAGAAAACTCGCGAAGGACTACATAAATACTGTGCTTCGCATCGCATTAGTAAAACTCACCTGAATTGATGATAATGTATCAGTATGAAAGATATCTATTATTAAACAAACAAATAGTAAATGATTTAATCGAGTATTCAATAATAAATTATGAACAATGAAAGTTATGATTATTTATTAGTGGATTATCGTAACATCTACTGATATCTTGAATATATATTTTTCAGCGTGCTTCTATACGCATCAGAGACATGGATCCTAAAAGAAGTCGATAAACAGAAAATATTGGCATTCAAAATGAAATGTTACCGACGGATACGAAATGAAGAGATCAGGAAAAGAGGAAACTAAGACTATTTGACCACATTTGCGCAATGGATAATAATAGGTTGATCAAACATAATATTTGCAAAAATGAACGCAAAATCCTGCCGAGGTTGATGAATCGAATCATGCCTATAAGTCAAACTTTAGTTTGATACTAAAGTGAGTAAAATAATTGTATTAATCTTTGTTTATGGCAATTTCAAAATATCGATAATCAGAAAATATTCAGCTCAAAAAATGATTTATGCAAAATAGTGTGTTAGCATTGTATTACAGTAAATCATATATATCGTATTGGAGGTACCTTATTATATTTATTATATATCGAAATTATCAAGAAAAATTAATATTATGATTTTCACTTTAACAATCGATGAATGTATCTTCATTAATAAATATTTTAATACACAAAATATTTGGAAAGAAAAAATATCTTTATTTCTCTGTTGCTTTTCATGGCTTTCGTTCAGTTCATATAGCAATTACTTTAGGGAAAGCACAAAAAACTTACGTTATTCTTGAGATTTTCAAATGCTAATTTAAGTAGTAAAAATAGAAAAATGAGTTTTTTATATCTGCTATATTTAGTCTATAATAATATTTCGATTGTAAATTAATTTATCCGACAAAGCTAATCATAAAACAGAACATAAGACAGTTGATATCGAAATAATGATATCATGATAGCTTTATCAGTTTTGAGTGACCTTACAAATAGTCTAAAAATACAGCATATTGATCTTTATAAGTGAAAATCTATAAAATGTTAGCTTCATCTATACCATCACCTATAGTAGAAAGTAAACAAAAATATATTAAGCGAAAAAAATGATATAATTTCATCTATCATTACAACGAACTCATCTATTAAAGTATCAATTTTTACGGATTCTAAATATGTGTTTGTTTTTCTAAATATTTATCTGTATGGTTTTATACGTTAAGTAAAAAAATACATTAAAGGTTATTTTACTGTTAAATAAGTAATTGATACATGCCAAAAACTTTGTCAGTTTATAGAGGAATATTACGATTGAATAAGAGAATTTGTCTTTTATATATTGTTCTTTCATTTAATTTGAATATTTACGCAATTTTTTCCGATGTTTAGAAATAAGTCAGTGTCATGATATACGTTGTAGTGACTATGAATATAAAAAATACAATAAGAAGTGTTTGTCAGAGGAAGTTTTCTTGATTAATCTTTTTTTTCAACTAAATGATACATAAAACAATAAATGACTTCTAATACTCACAATATATTGTTATCTAAAAATGTCTCTAAATCGTATTATGAAAAATAATAGTTCGAACATATCATCTGAAATGTGTACTAAAAAATAAAGTTCTTTTTAACTGAGCATATCGATAGTTTGTATGAGTATATACTATAAGTTTCTCAAAAATTGTGAAGCTCTTGGTTGATGATTTTGTTGAAAGAAAGTTTAAACTCATTTTAATCCTTGCACTCTGAGTTATAGATCAAATTTATAATTCTTTTTTTCAGAAATGTTCGAAAAAAGGAGCTCTTGAAAATATGAAAGACAAAAGCATTTTCTTCAATTGGGTATGCATGAAAATATTGAGATCTGAATCGAGAGCGAATAAAATCGCCGATATTTTTAGCGATTTTTAATACATATGCACTGATTAAACCATTAAATTATTTTCTTTATTATTGCTGTTTGTAAATAAATTGTGTGTATTAGAAGCACATGTGGTATTGTAAAAACGATAGGATAAAGGACGTGCAAAGAATAAAGAAAAAAGTATGAGAGAACGAAAAGAATAAGCAATAAATGTGACACGTGTTCGATTAATTCGATTGTGTATAGATTATTCGAGTATATACCACATCATCAATCGATAAATTCAAATACTTTTTTTTATAACAATATTTTAAATACATTTTTTTCAATAGCATCTTAAATTCATTTCGAACTTGAGATAGATTTAAAGTATTACTTATTACATTCTATTAAATAAAATAGTGTCAATTAATTGTAGTGTTTTATTTAAATTAGTCTTTTTATAGAAATATTTAAAAAATCTATTCACTGTATGATCACCCATAATTTTGAATACATTTTCAGATAACGAAAATTAATTAACAGTTTTCACAAGAATATAAAAATTAAAATAGTATATATAAATTTTCATAATATAGAGATATTAAGATATCTCGATTGGTTTGATCATATAGCTTTTAATTAACGACATCGTCTTCTCATATGCTTCAGCTACTTAGATAAAGTATAAATAAACTGGAAAGGATATTGTAATGAACAAGCACTA